TAACAAAGAAACTGTTATGTCTAGCCAGGTGCAGTTTACAGGTGTGAACTATAAAATACTGAATATAATGTATGATAATGCACTGGAGGAATTAGTTTGCTGGTCCTAATAATGCCAAATGTCTGTATAATATCTGGCCAATATTTTTAATGGATAGTCATGCACTTCAAATAAACATATTTTAAATGTGTATTTATTGAATAACAGAAAATTAAATACAAAATAAACAGAACACAAACTTTGCTGAAGTGATTATTTTGAACAAGTATAAACTTAGAATACACAAAACATTACTTTCAGGCATGTGATCAACTAGAGACAAAAAAGCAGATAATTTTGAACAAGTTTTCTATTTTAATATATTATAAATGTTTTTTATTCCTGTGATAAAAAGCTGAATTGTCAGCATCATTACTTCAGTTTTCAGTGTCACATGACCCTTCAGAAACCATTACAATTGATTTGAAGCTCAAGAAACATTTCTGATTATTATCAATGTTGAAAACAGTTGTGCTGCTTCTTATTTTGTGGAAATGGTAATATATTTTATTTTTCAGGATTCTTTGATAAAGTTCAATGAACGGCATTTACTTGCATTTATCAAATAAATGTATTAAAGCATTTATTAAATAGAAATCTTTTGTAACATTTTAAATGTCTTCACTTTTCACTCACTCCATCACTTTAATGTATGATGAATAAAATTATTATTTTCTCTCTCTATAAAAAATTTACCAGAAATGTTTGAGTGGCAGGCTATCATAGTTTTTGCTGCTTAACATTTTTTGTGGAAACAGTTTTTTAACATTGATCAAATTAAAGAGTAAATGTTTCTTGAGCAGAAAATCATCATATTAGAATGCTTTCTGAAGGATCATGTGACGCTTCTCTTTGTAAACAACAACACATTTATAAACGATTCTAATGACGAATGTTGCGGTCCCAAATGCAAAATGAAAGCTACTCTAGCGCAGCTAGCATTTACAGCAGACATGTAGCGTGCCAGACTATAGTCTATATTTATATAATTGCATCACAACCGTTGTGAATTCTATGATAGTACTAAGCTCAAATTCTCACCAGCATTCATTAAAAAGTTTCCGGGTGAGTAACACGCTTCAGCGCTGATTCTACCGTTTGAAGCCTTTTAACTGTCCAGCACTCTACCATTCCGTCTGTTTGTATTAGAAAACATAACCTTTTCGCAGTTTATTTAGTTAATTGCTTAAGGCCATTTCACGATTTCAGTCATCATGCAGTAACCAGTATCACACATGATTTTAGGCCGAAATAACCGGACGAATCACATCCCTGTACTTTAGCTAAAGTGTTTTATCAATACTGAGGCCCTTTGCCCACAATGTTCATTAAAAAGATTTTTACAAATGATAGAGGTAACTGAAATCTTTTACGTGATTCTGCTTTTATGCTGCTTGTGTTAGCACAACTTAAACAGAAGTTAGTGCAATGTTAACAAAAACTGGTAAAAAAGTGCTTTGAATTTCCACAATTGTAACAGAATTTTTCTCTTTCTCTCTTTTGACGTCATATACCTGAAAAAACTATAATATCTTCTACCATTAAATGGAGTCAACTTTGGCAGGATATGGGTTCAGCTGGTTCCACAATGGGTTCAACTGTTTCCGGAATTAGTTCAGCTGTTTCCGGAATTAGTTCAACTGTTTCCGGAATTAGTTCAGCTGTTTCCGGAATTGTTTCAGCTGTTGCAGGATATAAACAAGCTGTGGAGGAGAAAGAACTATACAAGAAGGAATTGAATGCTTTTAAGATGAGAGAAGAAGAAAA